TGTGAAGAGATACCTCGTTTTTAATTAATCAAGGCTGTTTATTATCATTATTCTTTTCATCTTTTCTATCTTATTAATCATTTTTAACATCACCTCTTGCAAAAGATTAGGTGTGTTAAGCATGATTAGTGAGTAGTCTTCTTTTAAGCTTCTAGTGTGTAGATTACGGTGCTTAGATATTTGATTTATGATGGTTAGGTTCTAGATTCTCATTTCCTTTCCTTAGTTAACTGCTCCTAATGCCATAGGTTGATAATAAGAATTTTTAGGTTCAAACTCAATTACTCAAACACTCATACACTTGTAGCATTTGAGGTATCAATCAAAACGGAGATTATATAGGCACTAGAACTATGAGGATTAATTCTTAATCCAAGTCTAACAGGTGAATGATTTGGTAACCAAGTGATCTAATAACTAAGAAAAAAATCAAATAAAAGAAACTAAATAAGACTCAAACTCAAAATAAGATAAAGCTAAACCTCTATATGTGATCATTGATCAGGGTCCTTTCAAAGCTAATTCATGATGCTAAGCAAACAATTCAACACTTGCTATTCTTTAGTCTAGACTTCCCATTCATATTAATTCATTCTCATGACAATAATCCCTTTCCTAATTACCTAATCAAGACTACTTCCCATTAGTAAATAAGCAATTAACAAGCATAAGGTTCCAAGCCTAATATGACCAAAAAGCCTCTTTGTGCATCAAAATAAGAGCTAAGATAGACTGAATCTTATACAGAAAGAATAAGCAAACATCACATGATCTTAAATTTCAATCAACTTAGAACTCAAAGCAAGACCATTTCTTTCCCAAGACAATGATCAATATATTAATCAGCATTCAAACCTAACTTTCATTAGTGGTAATGATGATCAATATGCATTAATAAATAGTTCTAATTTGTCATTTATGCTTCAAACAAATATTCCCATAGCATTCAAAACATAAATCCTTAAGTTAGCTCTTTTAGACATTTCATCAAACACCTTGTGGGTGGAGAAATGTTTAAGTTATAGATCAAGCTTATAATGAGAGATCTAGTATTAAGAGCAGATAACTAAGGAAAATAAATAAGAATCTAGAACCTAAACATCATAAATCCAACATCTAAGCACCATAATCTACACACCTAGAAGCTTAAAAGAAGACTACTCACTAATCATGCTTAACACACCTAATCTTTTGCAAGAGGTGATTTTAAACATGATTAATAAGATAGAAAAGATGGAGATAATGATAAGAAACAGCCTGGATTAATTAAAAACGAGGTATATGTTAACAATCTCTCACAAAAAAGGCAAAGAAAATAAAAAGGAAAAAGATGGATCCAAAGATGCTTAGGGTTTTAACACCAAATTGTATATATAGTGTGAGCTTTGGGCCGGGTCAGCACAGGACAAACTAGATACTGACCCGCCCTTTCTGGATCCTGAATGGTGTACCTCGGTCTGATGCTCAACCCTCTAAGCTGAGGCCTCCAAGTCGAGGCAGCAAAAATCTGGGTAAAGATGAAGAACCTAAAGAACATGTGTGAGGCTTTGGTTTGATTGCCTCGAGGTGTATGAGCCGAGGCATGAGTTTTTCTTGCTCTGGGAGGTCAAAAACAGGAGGCTGCGAGGTAGTATAGGTCGAGGCCTCAAGTCGAGGCATTGCACCTTTTGTTTCGGGAGCTGCCTCGAGCTTAAAGCTCACCCGCGGCCTGGACTCGAGGTGTTGAACATTTGCTTCGGAAATTGGCCTCGGCTTGTCTTTCAGTCGTGGCCTTCATGTCGAGTCATACCTAAAGGGTGTTGTGAAGACATGCCTTGAGTTGGATTGTGATAACTAGAGGTTTTTAGGCTATAGCAAAGGTTATCAATCCCTTAGCTGTTGCAGCATAAATGGTTTATCAATCCAATGTGTGGTAGACACTAGAATGTAAGACAATTTCTTAATTCAAGCAAAATGGTGAAGTTTATTTGTGACTGATGCATAAAAAAAGATTAAAACTAAAATAAAGACAAGTAAACTAAACAAGCAAAAACAATTAAACAAGATGAGATAGTATGGAATAATGAGAAAAAGGCCTTAGACATGATGATCTGCTCAAAGTTTAATCCCTAGAGCAACTCTGCAAGAGCACAGATGTGCAGTTGTAGTATTATAGGGGTCGAACCATAGAGACGAGAGATTCGCACAATAAACTATATAGGCTTGAATTACGCTAAGTGAAAACGATGAAAATAACAGCAGCTATGAAATTGAACAGTTGTAAAATCAATGAGAAAGAGTTAGGCGCAGGGATTTCTCAGGAATTCAGAGAATGCATATAAATCGATAAATCAGGGTTCAGGGTTAAGCACGATTCTTGAACTCAAATCACGGAATTATAACTAACCAACTTCCGTTGCGAGAATTATCTAAGTCTAAATCCTAGAATTCCAAATTCCTTTGTAAACCCTACAGATTTAAACCAGCTTTAATGCCCAAGTTCGATATGTTCACAAAGTATCTCAACTAAATTCTTTTGCGAATAGCTACTTTGCTCACCCTAGGTTCCTTCCAGTTATTCAATTACACTTCTGTGTCAATAAATTAACCTAAGAACTAAGTTATAGGTGGCCAGTCCAGAATTAGCTTTGAGAACAACCTATGGTGAAGAACTAAATAGATTATGAACCCTAACTAATCAATCAATCCAACATCCAATGAAATCCTTTATGAGAACTCTGAACTTAACAAGCTAACTACTCAGACATGAAGATTGAAATAATAAACATGAATGAATAGATTGCAGAAAGCAGTAAATAGATTAATAAACAGGGGTTCAAAATCTTCTCTCTCCCGAACAGAGTCTCAGACTTGTCTCCCCAAAAGCTCTCAATGTAATAATGAACAAAAAGTAAAAGCTCTCTCTAAGAAAATCTAAGGTATCGATATTGGTGGCTAAAAACCCTAATAAATCCTAAAAATCACGTGTTGGGCTTCCTTGTAAATATTAGAGACTTTTGGGCCCAACTCCTTCTTCAAATAGGAGACAAAATCGCGTTTTCCTTATTTCTGCGATTGGTGTCGAGCGTCACTCTCCATGGTGTCAAGCGACACTAAAGCACATAATCCATCCTTCACGAAATTGATCCTTGTTTAGCTCCAAAGTGCTCCAAAATCTTCAGTTAAGCTCCAAACGTACCTAAAACCTGAAAAGACTCCAAAAGACTCGAAAAACACTAGAAAGACTCTATAAATAAGACTTATACCATAGTCAAAAACCATAAAAACCATGATATATCAACTCCCCCAGACTTAGCATTTGCTTGCCCTCAAGCAAAAAAAAATACCAAATAAGAGAAAGAGGTTTGAAAACATGGAGATTCCACCTTTCATTAGAACATCACTTGGACCGATCACCCTAAACTCAAATAATGCTTCATCATTCCAAATTGAACCACCATGTACTTCTCCGCAGACATTCACAGCTTCACAGATTAAGTCCAAAGTTCCACAACATTGTCCATAAACCCTCATCACTGGATCTTACTGATGATTCAGATGCCAAGAACCTTCTAGACTCTTTCACGTACTATACTCAAACAAATCAGCCATATAATCCTTTGGTACTTTTCCCTCCCCCAGACTTATTCTTTTCGCACTCTCATCATTTTTTTATGGCATATACACGATAAGGTTAAAGATGCGAGTATTGATGGTGTTGGCCATCGAATCCCCGATTTGTCCCCTTACCTTGTATCAAAGGTTTTCAGCGAATAGTGGGGTCATAGGAAACTTTCTTACCCCTCGCTTCCTTCCTTTGTGTGATCATTCCTTCTTAGAAGTGAAATAGTGGGATCCCTGGAAACTTTCTTACGCCTTTTTTTTTCTTTCCTTCTTCTTTTTAGCTTGTCATAAGGGAGAGAAACACCATCATTAGATTTTACACAGACTTTCATTTGTCAAGTATGCACGAGGAATCAAGCTCTATAAACATCAGTCACATCAATGACGTAAAAGAGAGAGTTCAGAAATTAGCTCAGGTTAGTGGACTTTTTTGGAAACATGGATGCCTCTAGTCAATTGTTCAGCCTTTGGATTTTTCATTAGTCGGATCTAAACTGAATCTGCAGCAATGGTCACTTAGATGAAAGGTCAGCACAATAATTCCAGGCAAAGCATCATACTCTCCAACAAGTTTTGACTCAAAAAAAATTTGACACGACTGACTCTTAAGAAAAAAAAACACAATGTCAGCGACGACCTCCCCCAGACTTAAACAACACTGTCCTCAGTGTTATCTAGTCCGAAGTTGGTCAAACAAAAGAAAGGAAACAGAGAAACACAGTAAAAACGGAGAATTTACCTGGCTGCTTAGATGGTGTCGACCGACACTGATGATGGTGTCGTGCGACACTTGTTCTCCTCGTACCGAATTGCAGCAGACCAATCCGGATTTCTGGTTTGACTCCGGTTTCCTGATTTCCTAAGGTTTTTTTTTTTACAGAAGCAAGTGACAGGCGACACCGACACCGATGATGGTGTCGCTCGACACCAGTCTCTGCTTCACCTAAAACACGAAAACAAAAAACGAAAATCAAAGGAAACAAAGAGACTTATGTACAGACTTACCAGTGGATTGCCTTCCACCAAGCACTTGTTTTAAGTCATTAGCTTGACTATGGATAGACTATGCATCTGGTGGATCAGACAGTGGCAAAGAATGCCTTTGTGAAAATCGTCTCATCCATGGTGGTGTGTAAGCGTTGTGCGCATGAGGTCGTCCAAGGAATGCAGGAATAGCACCAGGGTGAAATCTGTGTTTGGACGGCTTTAAAGCTATTCCCTGCAATATCATCAATCGAAAAACCAAGTGCTCTACGATAATCTTGTAGCTTGCGTCGTGAGACAGAGTCTGCATCTTTCAAATCAGTTTTGATGATATCACAAGAATTAGGATTAGGCTCAAGAGGTGCGTACCTTTGCTTTGGTGGAGATGAATGGAGCATGATGTTTTGAGCTTTCTACTCAATAGCAGCTACTGGTTCTGTAGACGTCTTAGTCGACTCAGGTTGATCTATCACCTTCTCAGCATCAAGCACCTTCCGATCTCCATCTATCACTTCCGGTATTGCACTGACTTGGAATGTTTGACCATCTATGGTTGGATCTTTCAGGTTCTCCATCTTGAAGTTCATGATTGTATCTCCCAGGTAGAGATCAAGGTTACCATGCTTGACATCAATCACCGCTCCAGCTGTAGCTAAAAATGATCTTCCCAGGATAAGAGGATCTTTGGGTTCCTCTCCATATTCCAGAACCACGAAATCTGTAGGAATTATGCAATCACCACCTTTAATCGGAACATCATCCAAGACACCTTTTAGGATTCTTGTAGATCGATCTGCTAGGATCAAAGAGATCTTAGTTGGCTTGAAGTCAGTCATCCCAAGGCTAACAGCTACAGAGTATGGCATGAGGTTGACACTAGAACCAAGATCACACAGCGATTTCTTGAACCTCTCTGAGAAAATAGAGCAGTCCAAAACAAAACTTTCTGGGTCCGAGAGCTTCTCTGGCATCTTATTCTGAATCACAGCACTGACCTGTTCAGAAATCATCATCACTCCTTCCTCATGACTCAGATTATTAGTCACCATCCTCTTCACATAGTGTCTGAGAGTAGGAGAAATCTTCACAGTATCAACCAAAGGAATCTCAATCACAAGCTTCTCCATCAAAGCCTTGCATCTGGCATCATCTAACTCTTGCTTAGACTTCCTAGGGTTCCTTGGGTAAGGAACCTTAGGTTTGTAGACTCTTTCTTCTGTTGGTTTTGGATTCTGAACAACTTCAGCTTTGCTCTGCGACTGGTGTCGCGCAACACTAGTGGTGGTATCGCTCGACACTGGCTCTGCAGTTTCGAAATTTTCTTCAGATTCGTCCAAATCCACGATTTTAACCTCAGAAACACCCTCTTTAAGCACAAGAGTCAAGTTTTTACCACTCCTTAACGTGATGGCACTGCAGTAATGGCTTGGGTTGGTGTCAGTCTTCCCAGGAAGAATTCCCTCTTGCCTTTTTACAGACTCTGCAGTCTGAGCAACCTGAGTATCAAGCTTCTTGACATGAGTGTTCAGAACGTCAATTTTTCCATTCAGATCCAGGTACAGAGCATCAATCTTCCCATTAAAGTCCACAGTCATCTTCTGTTGTCCTTCTAGGATCTGTTCCAGCATAAACTTCACCTCATTATCAGAAGTTTGAGGAGGAGGAGCATCATAGTTCCTTGAGAAACTGTTGTTGGAGTAGGATGTCCAGTACTGATCAGGTCTGGAGTTGTAACCAGAAGAGTTCTGATTACCTGTGAAGGTACTCCTCTGATTATTTACACTGTAATTCATGTTTCCTTGCTGAGTACCAAAATCTCTGACCCTGAAATCCAGCTCCATTGATGAAGTTAACATCCTTTTCCTCAAGTGCTTCATCTGGTTCGAATCTGACAGATTTCTTACCCCACAAAAAGGCTATGCACAGAGTCCCAACTTAGCCAGTCCAACTTAGCCATCACTCAGCCATCCATTGTTCCCAGCCTGCTTTTCTTTCGCTGATAGTCCGTCTGCATTCTTTGTACTATTGCTAGATGCCCAAGTTTTCAATAAGCGCAACAGCGTCTTCAGAGTATCTGGTGTTGAAGTTCCCATTGCTTGCAGCATCAAGAGCCATCTGATACCTCCAATCAACACCTCTAAAGAAAATACCCAACAGCTGAACATCACTGAAACCATGATGTGGACAATCTCTCTGATATGACTTGAATCTCACCCAAGCAGCCTTGAATGCTTCAGTTGGTCCTTGAGAAAACGTTGAGATTTTGAGTCTCAGTTCCTCAGACCTGGCATCATCATAGAAATTGTGCAGAAAGGCGTTTCTGGTCTCCTCCCAAGTAGTAAGTGATCCTACCTCCAACTGCTTCAGCCAATTAGCTGCTTCTCCAGCAAGAGAATAAGGAAACAGCTTGCAGAAGAGGAAATCATTGAACACTCCATTGTATTTGATGCTGGTGACCAAGTCCATAAACCTCTCGATGTGATCCATAGGGTGCTCATGAGAGTGACCATAAAAAGGATGCTGACCCACAAGAGTGTAGTACACAGGTTTGAGCTCAAAGTCGTTCCTCTGAAACGCAGGAGCGCGAATCGCAGACCGATTTGCATAGAATTGCTCAGGTCTGTTGTAGTCACCCAGCGTCCTGATGATGTTACCCTCTCCATCAAATCGCTGGCCTCTCTCATTACACACATGACCATCTTGGTCTCTCCAGACTCCAGCATCATCACGAACCAATGCCAATGCGTTCTCCATCTCTGTTAGTTTCTAAGACAAAGAGCAAGAACAATGTAAGTAACAAAGTAAAAATAAAATTAAAAAAAACGACGGGTGTCTCGCGACACCAGTGCTGGTGTCGCTCGACACTAAGAAAACCTAGTCGAAACTCAAGAACTAAAGTCTAGTGGCGAAAATCAAGTCCTCGGCAACGGCGCCAAAACTTGATCTGCTCAAAGTTTAATCCCTAGAGCTACTCTGCAATAGCACAGATGTGCAGTTGTAGTATTATAGAGGTCGAACCACAGAGACGAGAGATTCGCACAATAAACTATATAGGCTTGAATAACGCTAAGTGAAAACGATGAAAATAACAGCAGCTATGAAATCAAACAGTTGTAAAATCAATGAGAAAGAGTTAGGCGCAGGGATTTCTCAGGAATTCAGAGAATGCAGATAAATCGATAAATCAGGGTTCAGGGTTAAGCACGGTTCTTGAACTCAAATCACGAAAATATAATTAACCAACTTCCGTTGCTAGAATTATCTAAGTCTAAATCCTAGAATTCCAAATTCTTTTGTAAACCCTACAGATTTAAACCAGCTTTAATGCTCAAGTTCGATATGTTCACAAAGTATCTAAACCAAATTCCTTTGCGAATAGCTACTTTACTCACCCTAGATTCCTTCCAGTTATTCAATTACACTTCTGTGTCAATAAATTAACCTAAGAACTAAGTTATAGGTGGCCAGTCCAGAATTAGCTTTGAGAACAACCTATGGTGAAGAACTAAATAGATTATGAACCCTAACTAATCAATCAATCCAACATCCAATGAAATCCTTTATGAGAACCCTGAACTTAACAAGCTAACTACTCAGACATGAATATTGAAATAATAAACATGAATGAATAGATTGCAGAAATCAGTAAATAGATTAATAAACAGGGGTTCAAAATCTTCTCTCTCCCGAACAGAGTCTCAGACTTGTCTCCCCAAAAGTTCTCAATGTAATAATGAACAAAAAGTAAAAGCTCTCCCTAAGAAAATCTAAGGTATCGATACTGGTGGCTAAAAACCCTAATAAATACTAAAAATCACGTGTTGGGCTTCCTTGTAAATATTAGAGACTTTTGGGCCCAACTCCTTCTTCAAATAGGAGACAAAATCGCGTTTTCCTTATTTCTGCGATCGGTGTCGAGCATCCTTCACGAATTTGATCCTTGTTTAGCTCCAAAGTGCTCCAAAATCTTCAGTTAAGCTCCAAACGTACCTAAAACATGAAAAGACTCCAAAAGACTCGAAAAACACTAGAAAGACTCTATAAATAAGACTTATACCATGGTCAAAAACCATAAAAACCATGATATATCACATGATAGTTGATTAGGGTGATTTGATATTAAACTAGAGAGATAATGAATCAGATGATCAAGCAATTCATTTCACTACAAGAAAGATCGTGTTTTACGTCGGCAGATATCGACGTAAAATCGACGTAAAAGGGCATTTACGTCGAATTAGCGACGAATGAAATATCTTCGTAAAACAATCGTCGTAAAATAGAATTCGTCGTAAAATCGTCGTAATATCGTCGGAAACTATTCGTCGTAAAGTCGACGTAAATTTTCCAACAAAATACGTCCATCATAACAACGACGTAAAATTGATGTAAAATTACATCGATTTAACAACGATTAGGAGACGACCTATTTCAATTAAGGGAAATTAAATTTTTAATTATCGATGTTAATTCGTCGTAAATAATCGACGTAGATTCGACGTAAACATATTCGACGTAAATTCGTCGTAACATTTTTGACGGTAGTTCGACGTAAAGTTACGACAAATTTACGTCGATTTATAAATTAATTATTTAAATTTAATTAATGAATTTTTAAAATAATCAATTAATTGAAAATAGAAAAAAAACATTTTAAATTGAAATTTAAATTCGAAAATAATTTATTATAAAAAAAATTAAATACAAATTGTTTTTTACAAAAAAAAACCTAATCTACAATGTGATTTCGTAATCGTCGAGGTTGAGATCGACGTCTCGAGGAGGCACTCCGTCTTGGCCGTCCGTCGCTGCTGGACCGTCGTTTCCCGAGCCGAAGTCTGACCCTGCGTCTGCTCACCGGAAGTACCACCGGCCTCAAAGATCCCTCGTGCTCGCCGTTGCCTCTCTCGGATTGCGGTGGCCAACTGCGGAACCGCTTCCGCAATGATGTCGAAGAGGCTGTGCATCTCGGTGAGCTCCTGCTTCTGGGCCACTTGCTCATGCCTGAGAGTGGTGATCTCAGCATTGGCCGTAGCAAACTCCTGGCGAAGATGACTCGGATCCTCCTGTGTGCGGAATCCGGAAGCCGAGGCGGCGGGACAGTCTCTAATAGAGCCCATCCCTAAGGTGCGGCCCTTCTTCTTCGGAGCGACCTACAAATGAAAATAAAAACGTTGATTGGATCATATATATACGTACAGATAATTAAGTACTAAATATAATAAATTTTTAAAAATTTGAAATCGATCATACCTCCTCGAAGATCTGGTCTTGCTCAGCAACGGTCAACGGTACTTGGATAGTACCGTCAGGTGTGACCTGGGTTTCCCGCTCGGCGATCCGCTGAATAGCGGCATTGTAGATCTCCTCTGACCGAGCATCTACAAAGGTCCCGTCCTTCTTCCGGTAAGTGGTCTTGAAGAGCTTCGTCATTGGAAGAAGTTCTCCTCTGTTCTCCTCGGCCTACCAAATAATAGTATTCAATTAAACATTAGTAAAAATATATTTAAAAATATCTTACGTAAATAAAAATAATTGAAAAATAGAAATAATTAAATAATTAAGATTACTTACTATCATTAGATGTCTTCCCGCAAATGATATTTGGTCAGAAGTGTGCGGGGTCACTAACTTTTGACCGTCAGGACCGACCCGGTTTCGGACGGCTGAACACTTAGCAGCAGTGGTTTGGGCATGCAGGTCCAGCCAATGCCTTCAACCCGTTCCAGCAGGAAGTGGGCATCGGGCTCGGCTTTGCGTCGTCGCCGTCGGTCTCCCACTTCCGCTTCCAATCGGAAACGGTGTTGACAAGGAGTTTATGCGCCTTTAGACGGAATGCTTCCCGGACCGTCTCGTTGATCCCAATGTCCCAGTTCCACCGTTGCTGCAAAATAAAACAAAAATTAAACAATATAAAACTAAGATTAAATTTAAAATAATTTTAAAGGATTAAAAAAATATTTAAAAACATTACCGCGAAGCATTTGTACCAGGTGTCGAACGTCTCTTGCGACACCTTGCTCCAGTTGTAGTGCGGCTCGACAAAATGGCTCTTAATTGTTTCGGAAACGCTCCGGCCGACACAATTATCCAAGTTAAACCTATGAAACAAAAAAAACAAATTACATTAATAATTAAGTATATTAATGCATTAATTTAAAAATTATAATATAAACAAAAATTTTACTTACCAATAAGAGCCTGGTTCCGCTTTTCCGGGGACCAGACGTCGTAAAGCCCCCCGTCCCGGTAGGGCTAGTAAGTCCTCAACCATAAATTGGGCAAATTAATCCTCTCATGAAGGTATTAACTTCAATGCTAAAAGAGTTCCTAACCAAATCATCATTTGTGAAACATGAATTAACAAGCATTAAGCAACAGTTTAATATGTCATTGTAAGTGATCAAACTATCATTCCCATGATGAAAGACTCTTAAACCTCTAACAAACTTGGTTCAGGCATTTCATCAAACACTTTTGGTGCATGAAAGTGCCTAAGATCTAGACCACAAATGATGTGTAAGGATCTAGCTTAGAGATCAGTTTGTAGAGAATGAATGATGCAGGATCTAACCCCTAAGCTCACTAATCTAACATCTTAGCACCCTAATCTACATATCTAAGACCTTAAATGGGTTTTACTCACTAATCATAACTAACACACGTGATCCTTTGCAAGATGTGATGTTAATCATGATTAGAAGCTTTGAATGAAATCAAGAAATGATTAGATGCAAAGAAATACTCTTCAATAGATTTAAAAGAAGAAGTATCTCTTAAGCATAAAGTTTCACCGAAAAGGAAACTAGAAAAGAGATAAGATAAAAAGTTGTGAACAAATTAGGTTTAGAAAGCTTATATAGCTTCTTGGGCCGAACCGGGTCAGCTCGGAACAAACCGGGTCCTGACCTGGTTTTGATGGGTAAAGGGAGCCTTTGCAACGCCTGAATCTCTCCTGACTAGACTGTGGCATGTTCACCGTGTCAAAGGATAAAGGTCGTGATGCTCAAGAACAATGCTTGCCATGGCTCCATTTGCACCGTGTCTCGTGGCCGTGTCTTCCAAACAAGTTCTTTGCCACGCCTAAGTGTAGACCGTGGCAAGATAGCGTGTCAAATCCTGAGCAAAGTAATGTCTTGTCACGGCTAAGTGTAGATCGTGGCAATGAGACCATGTCAAGTATTGAGTAGCTTTCTTTGAACCTTCGGAAGTTGCCGCGCCTAAGTATATGATCGTGGCAATGAAGTCGTGCCAACCCATAATACGCTCTGCCACGCCCAGAGTAGACCGTGAAAATTTCCGAGAAAACTGATATCATGCCACGGTTTGATTTAAGTTTTTGGCATTGTTCCCGTGACATTCTCAACACTTAGCATCATTTCAATCTTGAACGCCTGACTGACATGCACGTCTTCTGCTTCTCAAAACTCTCAGCTCACAACTCCAACTTACACCAAACCACGTCCACAAGAAAGATGACTCATCAATCTCGACCTTTTATGAAGAACACATTGGCATCTTGGGAATAGAAGGTCTCTCGAACGGTTCATCTTTGCAAAGCATTGACACGATCAGAAAGAGGCTTCTAGACATATGTCCACTCCGAAAACGTTATCTCCTTTCTCATAGCTCCAAATCAGATTATCTCAAATGTTATGGAAAGAGGACTCAAATATCCCAAACTTTGGTGAAGAAAACTTTGGTGCTTGGGGAGTGGAAGGTTCCCCGGACGGCTCATCTCTGCAGTTCATTGAAACAATCAAAAAGAAGCTCTTGGACCAGTGTTTACTCCGAAGACGTTATCTTTCAGCACATAGCTCCAATCCGGATGGTCTCAGATGTTATGGAACTATCACTCAAAGGCCTCGAATCTTGGTGAACGCCTCGGCAACTGAATCGGAGTAGAAAGGTATCGTCACACGCAATCTTTGTGACTCATCGGATCGGTCTTGAAACTGTTGCGAGACAGGTGTGTCTTCCGGTGAGCTTAACTCTCTGCTTCCTGCTTTAAATCCAATGATTCCACCTGTTCTGGAACCGTGACATGATCCGCTCCAACTTTGCCGAATCACCTAACAACTAAATCGGACCGGAAAGGCTTCTGTTAACGCAATCTTTGGAGTGTACTGATACAGAGGAATTTTAGCCGAGACTTCAATACACGGTAAGGTTTGGAGCCGAGAGAGTCAACCTGCAGTACATGAAAATCGCCAAGAGAAACTTCCCGCGGTACAGACCATCGCCGATAACTTCCAAAAGGCTGTTTTCACTATTTTTAAAGCTTCATTCACCATTTCTTCTCCTGGCTTCATCTTTTCAGGTCCAAACTGGTTCCAAATCATCTGAAAACTCTCTAAAACATGCAAGACTCACTTGGACCTAATGCAAAGCCCTAAAACTCTAAAACAAGTGTAAAACATGATGAATCTATCTAAAATGTAAGAATGAGACTCTAAACTGGGACTAAAAATGCAATCCTAAACATGTAAATTATGAATATATCAGATTGTGTTGAGGCACTATTGTCGAGGCATATTTGTCACTTGTACACCATCAACTCCATAGTTACATCAGGATTCGGGGAGACATGTGAGTGCTTGAACCGGTGTAACTTCCGAACCAGTGATCCAAACGACTATCCACCAACTCCAGAAAGAATTCAACTCACTTTCCTAGAACTTTGATAAAGAGCTCGAGTGCATCCAGGGAGAGCAATGCTTCCGGACGGCTGTTCTTTGAGGCACATCGGAATGATCCGGAAATGGCTTCGAGACATGTTCTTCTCCCACTTGTAACTTCCAGATCACTGCTCCAAATAATGTGATCCCAAATTATCTGGAATCTTGACTCAATGATCAAAAATCTTTATGAAGACACCAGAGACTGAATCAGCTGGGAAAATCTTCGTCTCAGGTGATTTCTGAAGCGTATCAGATCGGTCCAGAATGGATGCGAGATGGGTTCATCTTCTGTTGGCTATATCTATCAGCTCACTGCTCCAAATCAATTGATTCGAAGTGTTCTGAAACTTTGATTCAATCCTCTTGAGTTTTTCTGAAGTCACCAGAGGCTGAATCGGACGGAAAGGCTTTCCGGTAAGGTGATCTTTGAAGCGTATAGGCACTTGGGAAATTTTGGCCAAGGATCATGTACCGCGGTTTGTGTTTTGGCCGAGAGATGTAACCCGCGGTACGGTTTTTGGCCGAGAAAAAGCTTCCCGCGGTACATGGTTTGGCTGATATACTCTAAAATGCCAATTTCACCATTTCTTCATCTTCTTTCACACTCCAAACATGCAAGACTCCCTTGGACCTAATGCAAAGTCCCAAAACTATAAAACAAAGATAAAACATAAAGAATCTATCTAAAATGCATGCATGAGACTCTATTCTTTGACCAAAAATGCATCATAAACATGCAAAGATATGAATATAACAGAATTCTAGACTAAAGAATTGCAAGTGTTGCATTGTTTTCTTAGCATCATGAATTAACATTTAAAGCACCCTGATCAATGATCACATCTAGAGGTTTAGCTTTATCTTTATTTTGAATTTGAGTCTTGTTTAGTTTTTTTGTTTTCTTTGTTCTTAGTTATTGCTTGTTCTTATTTGTTTTATGTCTTAGATCACTATGTTACCAACCTTTTTCATCAGACTTGGATTAAGAACTGATTCATCACAGTTCTAATGCCTAGAAATCTCCATTTGGATTGATACCTCAAATACTACAATGATATGAGAAGTTTGAGTAATTGGGTTTGAACCTAAAAGTTCTTACTATCATGCACTTGCAGCCTCGTTAATTTATTTAGGATAAAACTTGCATAGGACAATACCCCCATATCACACCACATCACTATAGGAGATTTGTAAAGGATTTTATCACTGTTTCTGCACCCCTCACATCAGTCATTAAGAAGAATGGGGAGTTCAAATGGGGACCAGCACAAGTGGAAGCATTCAATAAACTCAAAGACCACCTTATTCATGAACCAGTATTAGTACTTCCTAAATTTGATAAGACTTTTGAAATCGAATGTGATGCTTATGGAACAGGTATTGGAGCTATTCTCATGCAGGAAAAGCGGTAGTCTATTTCAGTGAGAAACTAAGCGGAGCTTCATTCAATTACCCTACATATAATAAAGAACTCTATGCTTTGGAAAGATTTCTTGAAAAAGAATGAACAGAATAAGCAAAATGCTGATAAACGCCACAAGGAGATGAAATTTGAACTAGGAGATTGGGTGGCATGAAAGAATCCCAATCAAAGAAAATCTAAGCTCTCTCCTAAAGGATATGGTCCCTTTCGAGTGCTCGAAAATCAACGATAATGCTTATAAACTTGAGCTGTCAGGTGAGTTAACTATTTCTCCTACTTTCAATATTACTGATCTATCTCTTTTCCACGCCGATGCACCTGTTCTGAGGACAGAACCTTTTCAAGAGGGAGGAGATGATGAGGACATCAGTACCAGCTCACTCGAAGCCGAGAAGGAAACCATCACCATACCAACAATAAGGCAAGCTCCAAGAACAAGATCAGGTATGAGGAACCTTGGAGAGATATTCAAAAAGTCTGTGGAGAATCTCCTCACACTTATTGAGAGAGAAGGACTCCAAGAAGCTGAGCTTGTCAAAGAAATGCAAGAAGAAGACCAAAAGAAAACCAAGACTTCAAGTATTTACCAGTTTTGCAAGAAAACAAGGATACAATTTTGTTTGTCATTCACAAGGCAAATGAAGACCGGTCATAAAACGAGGTAAGTATTTGAATTTGAATTTATAACAAGTGTTTCTTTGTTTGTTTTGCAGGAATAAGACTGTTAGAAGGTCAAGAGTCTTTTCTTTTCTTTTCTTTAAAAGTCCCAGCGAGTCTGTTTTAGTTTGCAAGTTTGGTCTTTTGTCTTTGTATTATTTTCGACCCTAGAAAGTCACCAGCTGCTGGACGTCTATATAAGTCTTTTATCAACATGTAAAAGATAATTTTTTGCTAATAACATAAAACGAGAGTTTTTTTTCTACTCTGCGAAAGAAGTAAGTCTTCTTACTTCTTGTGTGTAAATCCTTGAAGCTAGAAAAACTTTAGACTTATCATAGATCCTTTCACAGATTTGTGTGGCGTCTCTCAATCCATTTTCCATCTCTTTGATTCTTAAGAAAGTGTCGTACAGCCAGCTGAAGAGTCATTATTGCATCTATCCTTCAATCATTTCTATGGAGCCTCTAGAAAGTGCCGTACAGCCAGGCTCTCCATCATTCTCCATCGCGGACACAACTTGTGCCTACATCATTCGTCCTTAATTCCATCTTGTTTTTTCATCCTTCATTATTACTTCCTCCTTTTTTTATTAATTGTCGTTTTAGAGAATTTTGTTTGTTTTAAATTAGTTGTCGTTTTCAATTTTTAATGCAACATTTATTAGGATTTTATTTTTTAGGATTATTTTTATCATGCAATTTGTTTTATTATTGGTTGAATTGTGTTTAAATAGATAATTAATGATGTTTTTATATTGAAAAACTAATACAATTAATATTTTCTTAATCTGTGTGCATAACCTTAAAACGACAACTAAATAAATCCGGAGGGAGTATTATTTTCTTTTCTTCCAGCTCTACCACTTAAGCTTAATTATTTGGACATGTCAAGAATCAAAAGTATAGACAACTCTTTCTTTTTATTGATGACCATAAACATTTCGTGAAAATTATAGCACTTCTTCTTGAACAAATGAGATATGCGAGAAAAAACGATACTACATGATATTGAAAGACATCCCCAAATTCATATTAAATTTCACCATCTCGTAAAGTAGAAGAAGAAGAAGAAGAGACTCTGAATTTCGTATTTGGACAAACTATATATATATATATATATATATAATTAACTAAAATTAAAACCAACAAATAAATAGCTTTGATCCAAAAACTTAAAAAGTTGTAACCTTCAAATGATGAATCCCATTGGTTTGAATCTGCAAACTCCGTAGTTGATAACCACCACCACCAGATCTCCTCTTCCATAGATTCTCCGCCGCTTTATCTCCGCCGTCGCCACCGTGGTTCTTCTTCTTAACTACTGGTAAAGGCGGGTCCAATTCAGCAACGTCGATTAAAGCAATTATTTCATTATCAAACTCCTCATTTTTGATTCTTTCTCGACTGCTTTTAGTGGTAGATGTGGTTGGAGCGGCGAAAGTGAGATTTTTTCCGGAGAAAAGGCGTTTGAGCTTGAAGTAACGGTGGTGAGCGGCGGGAGTGATGGAGGAGGAAGTAGTGGTGGGAAACCCGACGATTTTGTTGCTGCGTTTCACTTGACCAATGCAGCTGATTTTTGGAGACAAAGGATCAGTTTGATGGTCTTCTTGGTTTGATTTAGCTGGAATGGTTACGTTCTTGATTGAAGGTCTCGAACATAACATTGGCAAGAACGTATGTCTTTGAAAATGAACACTGTTATGTCTCGTCTCCATCATCTCCAACCAATTGATCTTCTAAGAGACAATAGAGATTAATTTTGTTTCTTTGAGATCACTTTACACATATGGACTTAGCCTCTCGTGTGTGTGTGTGAGAGAGAGAGAGAGAGGGAGAGAGAAAGGCAGGGAGAAAGGGAGAGAGAGAAGGAGAAAGAGAAGAGGTTGGTTTGTGGTAGTTGGAGAGTTATAAAGCTTTGATGATTTAAAATAAGGAGATAGAAGATAGGCTTTGGTCAAAGTGGCTTTACTAGTAGAGGAGACATTATTATTTTGGGTTTCACATTCACTTCCAACAAGTTGGTCTCATTCTATACTGGTAAAGTATCTTTCATCTCTAGTTTATTTTCGTAAGTAAAATTTGCTTTTAAATAATTGAGATTTTGCTTGTGGGTAGGAATGAAAATTATAAGAAAACATTTATACTTTTGTCGAAAATAAAAAAATTTAATAAAGTAAAAGTCTAATTCATAGTTGATTTCGTTATCTTATATATAAAAGAGTGCTAACTCTCTCCATATGAGTGACACATCAATATTTGAAAGTTAAAATGAGGATAACATGTGTTATATTTTTTAATTTAAAGTTATAATTTTTAAAATAAAATTAATTAATAAGTTTTAATATTAAGTTTTAAACCACTAAAAAATAAATAAAAAATTATTAATTTATTTTTAAATAACATTTATATAAATATTAAACAAGATTTTATGTCATAATTAATTAAAAATATTGATAGATTTTTTTAATAAACTCTTGATTTTTAATGATATTACATTTTAAATTAATTGATTTAGAGTAATATACTAACTCATAACAAATGATGTTATATTTTTTTAGGAAAATTCAAAGTTATATAAATTTGAAATAGTTTAAAAAAAAAACTCGTATGTTATGTGCAGGTATTCACCTAGTTTTAAATAAAATTATTTCCCAGTAATAATTTCTTAATTTTTCTTACTAAAAGATCGATCCATTTCAGTTTATTTCATTTTTATTTAACTGATAATTAATTTGGCTGACTTAAATCAACAAAAATATAAAATAGTAAAATTTATTTTTATAATAGTTCTATATAATCATATATATGAAAAGATGTGAATCCTCTTCCACAGCTCGCCACATCACCACTCCAAAGACCAACAAGTGTCCATTTTAAAAATAAATTTAATAACATTTATTCTAATTTTTAATTTATTAAGTGTAAATTTCATCTAAGAAATTGCATCAGTCTTTTTTTTTTAAGAAATATCTACATTTTCAATTATATATTTTTATTTTCTTCGTCTTTTCAACTTTTTCATCTGAGAAAATATGTAAATTTAGGTTTTAAAGACGTTGTTTATAATTTTGTAGTCTCAATATTCTGCTTGAAAAATTCAATCTCACTAAAAGGAAAAATAAATGAAATTTGATTTTATGATCTTAGGACTTGCTCTAAAAATATGTTAAGTCGGTTTGAGGAAGTTGCGAAAAACCTATGAATCGTGGTTAAAAACACTATTCCATTATTCCACAGGTTATTTACTAAGCTCACCAGAGCCTAAATCTTAATTATTTATTTTCCAGCAATTCAAAAAAAAAAATATAGCCTTTATCTATGTTTTTTTATTCATATCATGTTTATGATTTCCAAAATGGTAGAATAATTTTAAAAATATTAAAAATATTTAGAAAAAAATTAATAAAAAATTTGTTTTTTTTTAAAACTAATACCAAACAATCAAGCAAATTATCATATTCTTATAATTAATTACATATACATTTTAATATACATATATTTATAAAAATATTATGTCAAAAAAACCTTGCGAGTATGTGCGGGTACAAACCTAATATTTTATTCTCACTCTAGATTGTTGCCACATCAGCACTTAATATCCTCTAATGTTATTTTAAAAATATTTATTCTTTATATTAATTTTAATAAAGAATTTGGAAAGATATTTTGTTATAAATAATAGCTTTACTTATATTGATGCATTCTAGGTATATATAAAAGAGAATATCCTCTCTAAGTTTTTGTCGTATCAGCACTCAATTATTCTTATTCCATCCTCTAATGTCATCCAAAAAAAATTTATTCTCAATGGTAACTATCATCTATTAATTTCAATAGAAAATTTGAAAAGACATTTCTTTATAAATAATAGCTTTAAATATGGTTCTATATAACAATGAATAAAACCAAATTTGATACAAAATCCCCACATCGCACGAAAAATCGTCTAATAATTTTTCAAATCTGAGTTGAGTTTGTTAATATCTACGAATATCCATATCCGTTTTAAAGTCGTTCAAAAAACTTTAATATAACAAAAAAAATTTAAAATTTAAAAATTCAAATATAAATTTATTAAATTAAATGCATATTAAAAAGTAAGGAATATTAATGGAAGTTTTTAGAAGCTCGAACGACAACTTTAATTGTTTTAATTGGTATACCATAATGCATATTACGTGAAGAAAATTTTGGTATTCAATATGTTAACATGTTCAAGCTAATCTTCAAACAGAGATCGTGTGAAGTGTTCTAAAAAATTATACAATCTCAAATTAGAAAGATAATATTTGTTATTTGCTTTAAAAAAAACGTGCAAAGATGGTGAATGTTAGGTTTAACCCAATCCAAAATATTGTATGAGGTTTCAAAGTTCACATTGATGAGAGAGAGATTATGAGTGGATTTTCAAAGACAATCAAATAATCTAAATACTCGACAAAGATTAAATGACTAATTACATTGATGGTTTTTTGTGAAAACGATTTGACAGTTGATGCAACTATCTATGATTAAATATGTGATATTGGTCGAAAGTCATAAACCAACATGTATCTTAAGATATTATACAAACCAAATTTAAGTTTAATATGCGACTAATATTTTATGTAATTATCTTCTTACTATTGTAAATATAAAATTACATCAACTAGATATAAAACCGTTAAACACTAGAAATATTAAAATTTGGTTTCATTTTAATTGTAAAATATAATATTTAATAACATTTTTTATATATTTAAGTTTTATTTTAATTATATCAATAAATAACACACAAAATTTTGCACTAAGCACGGATCACCCGTATAGATATGTAGTATATTATTTACTATGTCAACAATGACGTGTAACACCCTATCATTGGACACATTGACAGTCTTCTGCTTTACAAATGCACATCATAAAATATTCTCTAGTATATGAGATTTAAATCATAAATCTTACCGACAAATTTTTTTAAACTAGTAAACAGAAGGCCTAAGAATCGCATTTACCCTTCGCGTCAAAAAGAAACCCAACATTTTGATTCCTACATTTTTACTGAGCCTGCGAAAAAACATAGTAATAAATAATTTATCATTGAGATATTATAAATTATCAAAAGAAGGCTAACAATAAAGGTTTCAGAACTTATAGTTCTATCTTTTCCAGAGAAAAGTCCAGATTTGATGGTAAAAATTTAATGAATTAATTATAAAAAAAAATATTTAATGAATTATGTACTAATGTGTACTGTCTTTGTCCCCTTCTCCCTCTACACTTTCACTCTACCTTTTCATTTTCTAATCACAGTTTCATTATTTGGATCGATACGTAATATTGTTTTTGTTTTTATTCATTTTTAATAAATATATACAAATTTTTTTTCTAGCAAATCAAATATATAATCTCATAAAAAGTATTCAAGATACATAAACACTGTCAATATAACCATTAACGTAAATAAAAAATTGAAATAATTTTGATAACACTGTCAATATAACCATTAACGTAAATAAAAATTTGAAATAATTTTGATGAATGTGTGGAGAGTAACCATATTTTCCTCTCAGAATTTTATAGGTTAACAGATAAAATATCTGAATATATATAGATAATTCAGATTTTTAATTTTACCACATGAATCATCCCAGGAGTGTAACCGTTAAGTAGCTTACTCATCAAATTTTAAAAAAGGTTTGATCTTTGACACTATTTTGATTCACCTAATAGGAGTAGTTTGATAATTCAACGCTTAAACGAAATTAATTTTTAGTTAGACCGAAATAACAACTCTTTAACTAGTGAGAGCTAGCAGTTACTACCATGTGGTTTCAATTATAGTTTATCATAACTACTTAGTGACATTTACTTAATTTAAGTTTAATAGTAATAATTTTGGCAAATTTACAAGTATCTTTTTTAAGAAATACTGAATAACGTATTAACTGAAAATAATTATCAAAATATTACAACTCAACGGTATTGTAATCGTTAAAAATAAAACTGTTTCAGATTCTTAGTAAATTAAATAACTGTGAGATGGATAGTTTGATCTTTGATACGTTTAATTTTTTTTCAAGCTTATCAAAAGCAAATATGTATGATCTTAGTATAGAATTTGCATAAATTTATATCTGCCAGATTTCAATGAATAGAGGTAAATAAGGTATGATCTGGATACAGAACTTTAGATACTTCATATCTGCTAAATTTCAGTGAACTCACCGAGAATCGTCCGAACGGTTGGGAATGAATATAACATCATCTTTTGGTTGTAAGAGCACCTCTAATGGAAGTGTCTTAACAGGTTTTTAAGCTAATTTGACATTAAAAATAAATCAATAATCTTATTAAGCTAAAGAAACGGTTCTCTTAAGAGGCCCTAAGAGACGTATATGTGGCACAAGCTGATTGGTTGAGTCTATATTTTTTTATAATTATTTCTCAACAGTTTATTTCTCTCCTCGCAAAAACTTTGTCAACCGACTGAAATTGAGACTTCTCTCCTTCTGCGAAGAAAACGAAGGAGGCAATTGCTGCAAATCGAATCGAGGAAAACCTGGGTCCTATGCATGTCGAGTCGAAGCGATGGAGCTCTGGAAATCGAATCGAATCAACCAGGTTAATTTCCTTCCTCTTCAAATTTTGTTTGTGTTCATCAAAATTTCTTAGATGAAGTTTGGTTTTGATTCATCTAAAATAAATTGGTTTCAACTGATGAACAATGGTTTCTCGACAAGGGTTTTTGGGTTTCTTCTCTTGTCTTTGTGGATACTTGGTGTTGGTTTCTTCTCTTGGCGAATTAATTATTCTCTTGTCTTTGTGGATATTCGGTGGCGGTTAAACGGCAGCGAGAAGTAAAACAATTCTCCGACGAAGACAAATTCTCTTCTTGAGGACAAATTTCGAGGGATGTATTCATTTGGAATGTCTCATCAGGACAAATTCTTAAGCTAAGGTAAGTGTCCTCTTCTTTGAATCCATATGATGTGTGGGATTGATGGTTTCTGTGGAAAGATGAATCAATGCTTTCAATTAGAGTTAGAGTTAGGTTTGCGATGGAAAGTTAATCAATTTTCTGAGATAGAATTAGAGTTAGGTTTGAGCAGGAAAGTGACTCCTTACTAAATGGTGGCTGCGTCGATGAGTTTAATGTTTGGTAGTTTAGTTTTAGGTGTAATCTTTTGTTTGACATGACTCCTAACAACACAAAGAGAAACTTCTTGCTCTAACTTAAAGCTAACATAATCAATTAAGCCTTCATCGATTGTAATATCTAACAACAGAAACCTATAGCCTTCATTAACACCATCCAAAACCATTTATTACCCTCTTTACCTCTCTTTTATTCATCTTTATCCTTCTCTTTAGTCATCTCTTTCATTCTCCTTTTATTCATCTCTTTCATTCTCCTTTGTTCATTTCTTTCCTTCTCCTTTACTCATCTCTTTTCTTCTCATTTATTCATCTCTTTCTTTCTCCTCTAAACAGCCATCGACGAAACATATGGATTCAAGGAATCCATATATTGACTCTGGCTTCATGGACCTCCTAAACAGTCAACAAAACACACATACCCTTCAACCCAATCCGTATGAAAGTGTTTCACCAAGTATTGATCTTTGTGATTCAGAGGCTACTGTGTTCGGAACTGAATGGTGCGATGGTGGAAGCTAAGGTGAGTGCATGCCCAAAGAAGCTCCGAGGTCAAGAAAGAAATGGAGTCCCGCAGAGGATCTAATCCTCATAAGCGCTTGGCTTAATACAAGTAAAGATCCCATTGTTGGGAATGAGCAGAGAGCAGACACGTTTTGGAAAAGGATATCCATGTATTACTCCTCAAGTCTGATGCTAGCAGGTATAGAAAAGAGACTCCCAAGTCAATGGAAGCAAAGGTGGTGTAAGATCAATGAATCTCTCTGTAAATTCGTCGGCTGCTATGAGGCTGCATAAGCTCAAAAAAGAAGTGGTCAAAACGAAAATGATGTGATGAAGCTTGCTTATCAGATTTACTTGAATGATCAAAAGAAGAAGTTCACTTTGTAACATGCTTGGAGAGAGCTAAGGCATGATCAAAAGTGGCTTCCCAAAGAAGGAAATGGAGGGGCAAGTAAGCGAAGAAAGACAGAGGAAGCATCTTCAACAGCGCGTAGCCACGGAGGAGAAGAAGCTTTGACGCGTCCTCCAGGTGTGAAGGCTTCGAAGGCAAAAGGGAAAAAGCCTGTCACTACCGGGGAGGGAGAAAAGTCGGATATGGATTTTGGAACCATGTGGGAGATAAGAATTCAAGATTTAGCCTTGAGAGACAAGCTAAGTAAGCAGAAGATGTTGAAGAGTCTTCTTGCTAGAACAGATCCATTATCTGATGTAGAAGTAGCTTTAAAAAACAAGCTAATAACTGAAATGTTGTGAAATGCCTAAACCGCATTCTTCTTTTTTATGTTTCAAATCCTTGTATGTTCTTCCTTTATTTAAGTCGGTTTACGTTTGATAAGTTTTAGGAGTAGCAAATGCATGTATGGTGTCTTATGTTTCGAATCAGTTAATGTTTTTAATGTTATGGTGTTTGAGTATTGGTTTTGATCTTTTGAATATCAGTTATATATTGTTATGGTGTTTGAGTTTATTTTGGTTTTGATATTAGTTATGCTTATCTATGTCTTTTATGATTTATGAGAATATTGACTTCAGATATGTACATGGTCTGTGGCATTATGGGATTCTTGGTCGTCCATTAAGTTAAGGTAAGATATCATGAACTTTGTTTGATTATAAACTTTGTGATATTGGTTTTTCCCTAAGTGCTCGTCGGTTATTTTGGTTTTCATATTGGTTTGATTATGAACTTTGTGATATGCAATGCACCGAAGATCATGGGAAACTTGGGCCAAGCAAATGCTGTGTGGTTGATGCAATTGATGAATACCTCCGGCTAGGTGAAAGTACTGCAATCTTATGCTTGGTAAATTTTGTGGAAAGAATAATATATTTGTCCGGAGATGAATACCTCAGAAGACCGAGACCAGAAGATCTTCAACGACTGCTTGATATTGGAGAGTTATGTGGATTTTCCGGGATGATAGGAAGCATCGATTGCATGCATTGGGAGTGGAAGAATTGTCCCAGAGCTTGGAAAGGGCAATAGACACGTGGTTCTAGAAAACCAACAATTGTTTTAGAGGCTGTACCTTCACAAGAACTATGGATATGACACACATTTTTTGGACTTCCAGGTATCTTAAATGATATCAATGTTCTTGAACGCTCACCAGTTTTTGATGATATATTACAACTTAAAGCTCCAAAAGTGAATTACTTTGTTAACGGACATCAGTATCATTTGGCGTACTATCTCACTGATGGAATTTACACTAAATGGGCTACATTTGTCCAATCTATTCAACTTCCAAAAGATCCAAAATCAGCATTATTTGCTACATGTCAAGAATCTGTCCGTAAAGATGTCGAGCGTGCTTTTGGAGTATTTCAAGCTCGTTTTGTTATTGTCAAAAATCCAGGGATAAAGCAAAAATAGGAAAGATTATGCGAGCATGTATAATTCTTCACAACATGATAGTTGAAGACGAACGGGTTGCGTACACGCAGTTTAATCCTGATGAACTCACACAAGTAAAGGCAAACAGAACTTCGCAAGTGGATTTAGCGTATGAAACACATATCCCATCAAATATCAGAAATTTGATGGGCATTTGAACTCGAGTTCGTGATAGAAGTATGCATCAACGATTGAAAGAAGATTTAGTTGACCACATATATGGAACAAATTTGGTACAAATCAAAATTCCAACTAATCTTTTCCGGTTTATGTTTTGTACTTCTGTTTTTTATTTATGCATTTCTATAATGTATGTTTACAATTTCAATAAATTAAATAATTTCTATTTATAAAATTTTTACAATTTTTTTTAAGAACTCCTGACTTCAGAACTACCCATTGGAAGCTTAAAAAGTTTTTTTAAAAATGTATATATGGGTGTAAGTAACACAAAAAATATTTAAAAAATTGGTGAGCACCCCATAATAGGGTCGCTAACCATTGGAGATGGTCTAATGAGTAGTTCTCTAGTGCAACATACTAGAGGTTGATCCCCGAGCTTTGCACAGAGTTATTTTATATATATATATATATATAGATATGAAGACAACAAAATACATATATATATATGCTTTTTATTAGAAAATAATTTATTTATTAATTTTCTATTCTTAGTTAATAGTTGGTTTATGTTTATATTTTCATTGTGTTAACATGTCTGTGTATTGTTATTTCTCTTATTAGTATTTGTATATTACAATGAATTTCTTCTTATATGTTATTATTGTGTGATTCTAATTATAGTTTTACATTTATTTTAATTTTATACCATTTCAAAAAGTAAATAACATATTTGTGTGTTTTATTGTGATAACTCTTCAACATTATGAGCATTGAATTTTTTAGTGTGAAAATTTTAAGTTTTTATTTTAAAATTGAAAAATATATATTATAATACTATGACAAGTTCAAACTTTGCTTATATGGTGTAAGTGTCACTAAGACTTCTTAGCTGTTAAAAAACTTAGTTTTCCATGATCTTGTTTGGATATCCGATCTCCTTAAGTTCATTTTTTCACTTAATGATGGTTATTTACAAATTTTTACCACCTTTTTTTATATTATGGATTATTTAGTTTTTCTATTTTCTCGACTTTGTAAAATTATTTTCTTAGAACTCATCATTATGGTGGAAGCTCCCTTAGCCTACTGGTTAATGGGTTCATTAATGCTTTTATACCAAGAAATTTGGGTCTCGAGTCCCGAAAAGTGCGATTTATTATTAATTTGCAGATTAATGGAGACAAGCTTACAAAAAATTTTCAACATGGTACATGGAGATTCGTTTGGCGTATTTGCAGGCAGGAGATTTGTCAGTTATTAAATTATCGATGTAATAGTTCTCATAGTTTGTAATAGAATAATAGGTCAGTGCTAAAAAAAAAAAGAATTCATCATTATCATAAAATATATTTCTTTTCAATTCTTAAATAATATGTTATATAGATTAAAAAGTTAACTACTCTTATCGCTCTTGTTCATATTTTTCAGTAATTTATTGCTTTTGAAAACTAAAAATTAAAATAATTTTTTTTTGTTTTTATAGTTAATTTAGAAATATAGTTAGTCAGATTATATTTTAGTATATTAATTAAATTTTATTGTTATCCAAAATTTTTTATTTAGAATGTGATGAATAAAAATATTTAATAGGATTAGTACAAAATATTTTTTAGTTTAAACTCAAATAAAAATTATAAATTTAGTTATATATGAAATAAATGAACATTTAAAAAAAAAAAATATATATATATATATATATATAATTTTTCTTTTGCTAATATTGATGTGGACACTCTAAACGGATAGAAAACTCTCCTCTTATATAATATAATGTTAGTAAAAAACGCTCTCGTATGGAACACTGAAAAAAAGAAATGTGAGCGTAACTTGTTTTAAAATGTTATTTATGTGGAAAAAATAATACAAATATTACTTAATCAAAAATAATTTGTGGACAGTAATTTCATGATCTGTTGGAATAAACATTTCTTGAAAGTCAAATTTTGTTCTAATGGTACTCTTGAACGGTACAAGGCGCGTCTCGTCATCTTGGGTAACAATCAGGTAAGGATTATGACTACAATGAAACCATTTCTCATGTTGCTAAGATATCGTACGTTCTTATAGAATGTGAGATCAAAGACCTGCGAAGTCTATCAAATGGATATCCATAATTCTTTTATTCACGGTAATTTAAAAGAACAAAAGTTTGCATGCGTCCTCCTGCTGGTTTTCTCGGTGCAGACAAGAATAAAGTGTGTTGCTTACGAAAATCTCTTAATGGTCTACGCCAGGAACCTCATTGTTGGTTTGAGAAACTTGCCTCATCATTACGAGAGTACATGTTCATTCAGGCTATGCCCAACTACTCATTGTTTAATTTGGAGAAAGCCTCCATTCATCTTCAGGTACTTATATACATTGATATCTTATTTTGTCGGGCAGCTCTTTGTCTATATTAGCAAGGCTTATTTGAGAAAGTTTTTTCACATGAATGATCTTGGCATCTCAAAATACTTTCTTGGTCTTGAACTTTCACGTAATCCTACGGGTATTTACCTCTGCCAACGTAAATTTGCCATTAACATTATCAGCGACTCGGGTCTACTTACTGATAAGTCGATCGGCATTTCTAGTTGAACAGAATCATAACTTACCTTTGAATGATGGTCCTGATCTCAAATATATTGTTGTGTATCGTTGTTTTGTGGGTTGTCTTATTTACTTGGGAGTTCCCGACACAATTTTGCATACTTTGTTTATTTATTTGCCCAGTTTATTCAGAAACCAAAACAACATCATTGGGACGCTGGACTTCACGTTATACAATATTTAAAGGGTAATCCATGTCAAGGAATCTTTCTTAGGGCTTATACTGAGCTTACAGTTAAAGCATGGTCCGACTCGGACTGGTTAGGCTGTCTGACTACTAGACATTCACTTACGGGATGATTTATTTGATTAGAAGGCTCACCTATCTCTTGGAAAACACAGAAACACACTTCAAGAGCTTCTTTGGATCAGAATCTGCTTCAGTCGTTTGGTATTGCTTTCTCGGCTCCTATTCCTTTATATTGCGATAGTGAGTCTGCTATAAAATTATCTGCTAATCCAATTTTTTTTTATGAACGTACTAAACATGTTTAAAATGATTTTCATTTCAATTGTGATGAGATTATTCGAGTCACTATTGCTACTCATCATGTTAGTACACACACTCAGTTGGCCAATATTTTTACGAAAACACTTGGACGCAGAGTATTTGAGGCTTTCTTATTTATGTTGGCCATTTTTGATCTTCAAGCTCCAAATTGAAGGAGAGAATCTTATATATATATAAGAGGCTCAACTTTCTCCATATGTGTGACACATCATCATTTTGAATTGATATGGAGATGACATGTGTCACTTTATAATTTAAAGCTATAATATTTTCAAAATTATAATAAATTAATGAATTTTAGTATCAAATTTTAAACCACTCAAAAAAAATGAACAGTTTTTTCATTAATTGATTGATATTAATTGATATTTATTGTATTTTTATATAATTCTTAATTTTTTTATGATATTACATTTTAAATTGATTTCTAAGATTTTTTTGTTTTTGGAAAAAGTTTCTAAAATTTAAGGAGAGAATACTATTAAAGATACTAGGTGAATACCCGGCATACCCGTTGCGATGTTTCCAGCGTGT